GAGCATGGTTGACATTCTTCAAACATGTTAACGGTTTTTCATCGTCAGTCATTTGGTCAGCCGTGTCACGCCTATTTGCCTGCTAAGCAAAGAACCTGCCAAACTTTATCAACAATATTTTCCTCTAATCTGTAATTTTAGGCAAATTAATAGGTTTAGTGTGACAGTCTTAGCAGTTATTAGTTTATATATTCTACTGTATGGGCAGCATATATGAAATATTTCATTCTAAAATTAGATGTCCCTAATTTGGAAAAAGAGACACCATCTCAAAAAGGGATTTAAAAATGTTTTTTTCGGCATGTATTAATATTTTTCTTGAGACCCATATTTTGTTTATAATATGAACAGTCCATATTATATACACACTCAGGTATACCTGATATACAGTCCTGTCTTCATGAAGGTTATAGTGATCTAGAATTCATTATACAGAGAGCGGTTTCTGTTATTTAGCCTCCCCTCATTGACATAATGTGTTGGACAAAATAACAGAAATGCCTTTTCATACTAGCACCACAAGCTACATCCTCCACAATGATCATACAGTCGAATCAGCACCTCTCTAAAACAGTTTCAACGAAAACTGAACATTATAAGCTTCATGAAGGGAGGATTTATTGCAGGACTGGTGTATTAGACTGCATTAGCTTTAGCTAGGTGTGTATAATGAACTGGCAACTGAGCGTATATTTGTATATAAGAACATGGGTTTTGAAATGGTGCCTGAATTCCAGGTAGCTGCATGAAATTGGTACAACTCCCTTTATACCTCTACTGTCACTGTGTGCTAAACCTGTAGAAGTGTTACCAACGGCTACATTACAATTGTAACCACAAAATGTCCTTCAACACACGGTTAGCTCCTTCACTATCCCTCCACTATCCACTGCTACACTTGCTGGGCTCTACACATAACCTCAAGAGGTCACTTGTCGCATGGCCAGTAGGATTGTTGCTATGTTGTCAGTTTGTTGAGAAAACAAACAGGCAGTAAGAAACAGCCCATCCTCAGCACCTTCCTCCCAGAATTAAGGCCTGTCTCTGTTGTCTTCGTCTTTGTCTAGTCCCACTCTCCTGTTGCTTTGGAGAAGAAAGTGATTTCAGTGAGTATTCACTGAGGGTTTCCACCTTTTTAAATATTGTGATTGTGGTTCCACGCCGTGGTTGTATTGATGTCGTGCTATGAGATATGCTTCTGGTTTTCATTAGTATGTATGTTTCACCTCATTCTGTCAACACATCAAGAATCATATTAGGCAGCTGAGTCAATTAGTCTTATAAGTTCACTTTTTTAACCTTTTTTAATAAAGTTTATTCTGTAGTGTTTAAACTTGCATCATAACAGGTTTTACTTCATTTGTGATGGATGTGGTTAAGAAAGACCTACACATGTTTTCATGTTAGACGTTTTGTGTTATACGGTATGTGAAGTGGCATCATATTATATCTATCTCACACCATTGTGCTCTTGATCATTACTTCATTGTTAATCTACTGACAGACTGAAACCTATAAAAGCATATTATCTGTCTAAAGATGTCCAACATAATCTAGATATACCTCACTGTTTTCCTGCCCTGCCTGTCCTCAGTCCCCTCTCCTAGTAAGCTGCGGACTCCAGCCACCCCATCCCCACTGGCCTTGAGGCAGCCGGTAAAGGCCTCATCCAACCCCGGTTCTGCCACCTCTACCCCGACCCGCTCCCTTGCTCCTCCCCGTAGCGGCTTGCCCCGTCCCAGTGCTTCTTCAGGAGGGGGGATCCCTCTGCCTCGCAGCAAACTGGCCCAGCCTGTGCGCAGGTATGTACACCACAGACACAGTGGCTTAATTTTGCACTTCTATAAATAGATGGTGCTGTAGAAAAAATTAAACCGCCATTTAATCCTGAATTTGTGTTTATTTTTATTTCCCCACCCCCCCAATCTCCTTCTCAGATCTCTTCCTGCTCCTCGGACCTACAGCGGCGCAGGTGACAACTGGAGGGAAGGTTGTTACTGAAATGAGCCAGCAGGGGGCTCTCCAATCAAACGATCAACACAAGGAGGCAGACATTACAACATGGCACTTTATCTACCTAGATACCTTTTACAGTGAAGAGAGAGAGACTATGTCCCCAAAATATATAGAATAAAAAAAAAAAATAAAGGTGAGGATAGTGTCCACACGTTGTCAAAGAGGACCTCCCATCGTGTTTCTCTGTGAGGTCTGGCTCTGGAGGGGTCCGGCATGTAGTGCAGACAGCCCAGAAAATGCCAAAGAAACCAGCCCGACTCCAGCTCCACCATCAGAGGACACATCACCTGCCTTGGTTTGACTGCAGTCATCTGTCAGACAGCCCATATCACTTCTTTGCCCAGCTTTCCTCCCATTCCTCTCCCCTGTTCTTTTTTCACCTCCCTCAGGTTGAAATGTTTCCACACATTTCTCTCTTTATGCTCTGTGTTAAACAGATGTTGGTGAGCGATCTCTATGATGATGCTGTGCAGGTGAAATGTCCCGTAATGTTAGAGAATTGTTGATGTCTTGCAACAGTGAAAGCACCTCTGTGTGAGTATGACATTTAAGAATCGTGTCTCGCGTAAAGTCAGCCAGAATGTATGCAAGTTTGTTTTGGAAATTATTTATTCAAATTATTTAAGAAATGTATGTCTAAACATCCATATCAGTATTTTGTTTTAAGATTTCAGTTGTTTAAAATGTACATTTTGAACCTCAACTGCAAGCTAACTCTCCAAAGCCTTTTTTTTTTGTTTGTGTCAAATCAGGACTTGTGAGAAACCCGGGTGATTAATGAGCCCTCGGCCAAAGCCTCAGTTCTGATTTGTACTACAGTTTGCCAACATTATTATTTTCCATCGAAGTGCTGAGGTTGGACAGTTTACACGTTGACATTAGGTCTGAGTTACATCTTATGTCTGAAGCAACTCCATCTATTAAGAAAAAAGCCTGAGCTGAAAAATAGATCAGATTCATTCAGCCAATGGAACCAAGAAAACATTTCTGTGGTTCATTAAATTCCCATAACAGATTTGACATATATCCTTCATGCCATGACAACAAGAAAGGAAAATGTCATGTCGAATAAGTTTTGCTGGCTTTTACCTCTTGTGCTATGAAAATGAATCAAAAGGTGTGCCAGTGTTAAGCTGTTCTGGTAATTGGTGTGATGGGTGTTATGAAACTAGTGCCTATAATTTAAAGTTTCACTTGAGTTTGAACATCTTTTGTTTGTTCGTTTATCACTTTGTGCCAATTCTGGTTTTGCCAATATTTTTTTGCAAATTTGCATCTCTGCTTGTTTGATCTGCTTGCCTGTTTGTTTATTGTAATTAAATCAAATACATTTATAATTGCTTTAAAAAAATAAAATGCGCCTTCATATTTATAACTAATTACTCCTTCTGTAAATGAAACTATTTATTAAAGAGAGAGGTGCCTCTGTTAAAGCTCAGATTCAGTGGGAAGCTAGAACGAATGTTGCAAAAAGACATACCACACCTTTTGTGTGATCGTTTTTGTTATTGAAGTTTTTTTTATATCCACAAACATGACATTCAGTTTCCCTGTGTAAATTCACATTTCAAATAAAAGCTGAAAACTTGTTCTCTCTTGTTTTTGTACTTTGTGGATTCTCTGCATATTTAAGAACAAAAAAAGGTTTGTAATAGGGCTGCACAATATATCCTTGTTGTGTGCATGTGCCCATGCGCAACAGTCACATCGCGGAACGTGCCATGTCAAGCTAGTGAAATTAACTCAAACACCTCAACTTTTTTGCTGCGTGATACAAAAGGAAAAGTCGCACAGTTCTCATTTTCTATGACTAATCTACAAGACAAGTAGGTCTGGTGTAACATAATTTAATTTAAGGGCTCTTGGAAACACAGAGTTTGTTGGTAGTGATAAGCAGGATCTGCAGGCACAGTGAGCAACCATTCACAATATTGATCTTGACCAGTTTATCAAACAGCCAAAGCAGGCCCGCCCCCGTTAGTAGTCGACAACTTGAAAACAAGTGAGGAACAGGAGAAAACCACGGAAACGGTGAAGTGGTTGCAAAAAGAAAAACAACTTTATTTTTCTACGTATTTTCATACAAAAATCCCCCGATTAATTCTAGGATGTTCAATTCCTTTCAAATACATCAATTGAAGTCAGCTGGCGAAAACACATATCACAACATATATCGCAGAAAAGAAAGATAATGCAAAGTCAGTTTCCAAAATCTTGCTGCCTTAGTTTGCATTACTTTCAGACCCATAGAAAAGTGAAATAACAAAAAATTTGAGTGACTGCAAAGCAAATTCAAGGTGCAGTCCTTCTGCAGGTTAAGATTTTTGTAACATTTAAGTGCAAAATCCTGATTTTCTGTACGCTGGACTCAAATTATGCACTACGGTTTATTCCAGCTTCCTTGGCAGAATTTAAGTACTTGAAACATGGAAAGATGCATCAATGTGAACCTTTTTTTTTTTTTTTTATCACAAATGCACGCTCAAATCTGTTATTTTTCCAGTTATGTCTGAAGACAAATGACAACTCTAGAAAACAACCTGGTGTTACTTAAAAGGCAATGACAACTTCGACTGTAGGTCAAGTCTAAGTATTTTACCCTTTCAGTAAGAGTGTGCATGCAAAGGATACAAACTGCCAAACTGAGAGTGCACAACATTTAAAACAGCAGAGGAAGCACTACTGGTCACTCACGACTTTACCCTTTCAAAATGTGTTCTGAGGTGTTCATGTGCACCTGTGTGCTTTCTAATATTCACTTTCGGGAAAGATATCTGCTCAAAATTGCTTTGTGCTCAATCAACAACTTTTGTTTAGTTTTTCTGTTTATTTTAGTAATGAAATGCATGTTGAACAGAATTACAAACCGGAGTTTATTGTTTAAAGTGCAGCATCACCCAAAACGTGTCTGTACACTTTATAGCTTTCAAGAGGAAGGTGAAGCATTATGTATTCTGTACACAGATAGCTACAGCATGACGTACCTGGAGTCACCCGTTGGTTAATGGGGGACACAGTGTGTCTCCGGGAAGGGGAGGAGACAGATGAAAGCCTGAGTCACTGACTGGTGCAAACCGTCCCACCTCACTCCACCCTCGCTGCCCTGAGGACATGTGACGTCAGTGCATTTATTTCTCCTCACACTCTGCATCCTCTGAGTGTGGAGCCACCGCTTGATGTGCAGAAGTTTCACTCAGTGGTTTCATATTCTGTGGGCAGCAGACACACAAACACAGATCAGTCAAGTCAAACCCCAAACAACAAGGTTCCTTTACACAGGGGATGCTGTGCTGAATATGATGCATTATTGTGGGGAGCCAACGGTCACAGAAACAATATGTTGTCTGACGTTAGACTAAAGCAGGATCAGTACTGCATCTACTGTTGAAGTGTAAAGTAACTGAATACTATATTTGATGTGTGTGCAAATTTTGAGTCAATGGATCTTGATATTTTCTCCACCTTTCTGAAGGGAATATTTTTTTTATCATAAAATATTACATATTACAAACCCAACAACTAATATAGTGGTCAGACTCACCAGGACCAGCTTCAACAAAAATATTAATGGTTAATAATATAATGCGCTAATAATATATGGACGCATGCTTCCTTTACTTAGGTCATCATTTTCAGGTAAATCCACAGTCTTTCCAGCAGCAACAGTGACTGATTCAGTTGACCTCACGCATACTTTGATATTCAACAGACTGTTGGGATATAATACCTCAGATTAATAACCATCTAGTAAAAATGAGACCTGAGCACCATAAAGTCCAGATGAGAACTCATGCGTAACGTGCACACAGCTGCGCCAACCAAAGAGGGCAGGCAGCTTTTCACAGTTTGCTGCACTAATATAAAGATCAGCACCATTTTCATTCATGTAGGCTGTGCTTACTCCACCTCGGCAAACTGCTGTCTTCACTACGGCTTCATTTCCCATGTGTCTAAATGATGACCTTTATAATTCTACAGAATATGAGACATTATAGCCTCTGTTGGCCTGTAATTTCCTAAATGGAAAACTGTCAATATTAGATATTTCGGGGACCTTTCTCCTTATACAGAGCGGAGCACAATATAAAAGAGCAGCCTGGGCGTTATTGATTGACCCATCCACTCTCGCTGAAGCATAAGATCGTGTGCAGACTCCCCTCCAGCTATATGTGCGTCTCTAGCAGAGCCAATCCGTGGCACCAGCCTAACCCAGTCAGTCGCTTTAAGACTATCAGTGCCATGGCACCATCAAATCCTCCGACCACTGGATCCTCCGCAGATTCTTATTAGTGACAGCGCGCCGCTAGGGGACTCATTTTACGCACGACCACCGACAGGCGCATACACTCTGTGCAGAGCCCCTGTCCTCCTGTTGCGCCATGGAGAACTCCAGCCTGTTGGGCGGCGACGCACAAAATGCTGGCTTGATAGACTTTCTTATGTCGGACACTTTGCAGCAAGTTGTGGATTTCTCAGAAGACACCACCATGGCTGGACTGGTGGCAAGTAGTGCAATCTTCCTGGAAGGCAACACATTCAGGATTGCCGATGGAGCGGAGTTTATGGCCGCTCCGCCGACGGAATCCCCTCACCTGATGCCTGCCTTTTGGGATTCCCCGCTCAACCACGGAATCAATGTATTCGTGGGACTGGTTCTCTGCTTCACTATGCTGGGGCTGGGCTGCACGGTGGAGGTTAGCCAGATTGGAGCACATATCCGCAGACCCATCGGGGTGCTGCTGGCACTGGTGTGTCAGTTTGTTATCATGCCCTTGGTGGCCTTTCTGTTGGCTTTAGCTTTCTCTCTGGATGATGTGGCAGCGATGGCTGTTCTCCTCTGTGGCTGCTGCCCGGGAGGAAACTTATCAAATATCATGTCTCTGCTGGTGCACGGGGAGATGAATCTAAGGTAGATATACTGTACTCATCTATGCAGTGAGTTATCACATGAACCTGTAAAAATATTTCATGAGGTTGAAGTAGTATGTTTGCGTTTATTTTTCACGCACTGAAATAACGGGGACTTTAGTACCCCTTTTATGCATGACTCTAAAGTTCCACATGCTTCCCTAAAGTCAATGACACACGTTTGTCAGACTATAATGATCCAACACTGTGACCAACATTCATCCTATACTGCTATAACGGTGCGTCTTTGCTCTACTCTCCTCAGCATCATCATGACAATATCTTCCACTCTGCTGGCGCTCGTGCTGATGCCGCTGTGTCTGTGGATCTACAGCCGGGCATGGATCAACACACCGGTGGTCAACCTCATGCCCTTCGGGGCCATCATCCTGACCCTGTGCAGCACTCTAATCCCCATTGGTTTAGGAGTAATGCTGAGGTACCGCTACACGCGTGTGGCCGACATTGTTTTGAAGGTAATTTAAGAGCAATTTATCAGAGTTACTTTTCAACTTAATGAATAGGTTGAATCAGTTAAATAACTAAATAATTTTGTGCCATTTAGACTCTGCGTACTTTAGGTTAAGAAGCACCTTTGCGCAAAAGCGCACTGCGTAATTTTCCTTGCCTGTCATAAGGAGAGGGGGATGCTGACCGCAGAACAGTGACATCAAAGGCACTGTGTCAGGAAGAGCTCCTCCTTTCCCATTTCTGATAATTGCCACACATGAGGAAGGACCACATCAGTCACAATAGACAGTAACTTGAGGCAGCAGAAAAGCCTAGATGCAGATTCCAGCTCTGTGTGTAAAAAGTCATGTCAGTTTTAATTATATAGCCCAAAATCCCTAGTATTCCTCAGGTGGTGCAATCTTGACAACCTGTGACCCCCTTTATTCTTATAGACCATCAGTTCAGATGAGGAAAACAAAACAAAAAACATTTAACAGGAGAAAAGTAGGTGATGAGCTAGACCAAAGGAGTCTTGGCAGGGTCCTCCAGTAGAGAGTACAGAACATCACCCTTATCTTTATATATTGTCTTTCCAGGCATCTCTGTGGTCTCTGCTGGTCACCCTTGTGATGCTGTTTATCCTCACTGGAGCCATGCTGGGGCCTGAGCTCCTGTCCACCATCCCGCCCTCTGTCTACATGGTGGCTGTCCTGATGCCCATGTGTGGTTACGCTGCAGGTTACGGCCTGGCCGTGCTCTTTGACCTGCCGCCAAACTCCCGCAGGTCAGTCTCTATGGAGACAGGATGCCAGAACGTGCAGCTGTGCACTGCCATCCTGAAGCTGGCCTTCCCCCCTCAGCTGATGGGAGGGACGTACATGTTCCCTCTCCTGTACGCCCTCTTCCAAGCAGCCGAGGCTGGTGTTTTAATCCTGACCTACAGGATGTACAGGAAGAAGGTCCTGCATAAACCAGACCCCATGGGGGACAGCGAAGACACGGATATAACATATCAAAGGTTTCAGGATGAGGATTTTGACTCATCTTATGGTGCTGTGACAGTGAGTGACCCAAACACCATCATGTTGGACCCATGTCCCCCTGATCCAACGCCTGTTTAACAATTTAATAAAGAAAATCTGGGAACCAGAGAGACTATGCAGGGAAATGTCTATCACTTACCTGACTGCTGAAAAAAAGGTGCTTTGTGTCATAAGCTTCATTCATTCAATTTGACAATTCATGTCTGATACGGAATGGAAAAAAACAATGTTTTAAAGACATTGCTGTGTTACATATAAGGCAATTTTCATCAGCTAAGCTTACATCTGTGAAAGTAACATTAATCAGCAAACCACACCATCAAAGCAAGACAGCATTTAGTTTCACAAGTGAACAAACTGTGTGTGTGCATGTAAGAGAAAGGGAGACTAAAAATACAGGAGAAAAACATATCAGTTTGTCAGTTCATTGCAGCGCCAAATTCAGTGTCCAATCCCCATAGACAGAACTAACGGAACAAAATGTACAATATGTGTATATTATAAACAACTGTATCAAGAAAATAAAATGTGTATAAAAAACCCCCTAAAGCTTGTATACCTTCATCACGTGTCTGCTGTTTTGGGGGAGAGAAAGGGAAAGCAGTCCCACACCTGACCCTAATTAGACCTAATGGAGAGCGCGTGTCGCCCAATCTACTTAAATATCCACACCTAGGAGCCTTGGTTGGTTGAACAAAATGGCAACGTATGGTGACGACGAGCCAGTCGACAGCTATTTCTATTCATCTTACAACCCTTACACGGGCAGATACCCCAGGCCTAGAGACGCGGGGTGGAAATATAAAAGTTACCTGTCCCACTATGGAGACACTTCAGATGCCTTCAACAACCAACAGCGAGCGCAGCTGAAATCCATCTTATCTCAAATCAATCCAAAACTCACCCCGAGGCTCAGGAAGGCAAACACTAAAGATGTGGCGGTGCAGGTCAACCCGAAGAGAGACTCTTCTGTGCAGTGCTCCATCGGCCCGCGGACCCTCCTGGCCATGAAGCGGGACTTCCGGCGCAAAAGGAGGGAGGAGCAGCCCACGATGCCCGGCAGCTATGGCAGCCCCAAGGCAGCGGGCGCAGTGCGTTACCCCCGAACCCTCGCCGTGTATTCACCGATCGCCTACAGAAGCGTTACCTCCTTCCTGGTCGACGAAAACAACAATAAGGAAGCCTCCTGTGGCGAGGCGCAGACCAGAGAACCGCCCGGTGACCCGCCCGAGTACGCGGGGAAAAGCGACGGGAAGAGGAGCGAAGAGAACCAGGCTGCTGAGGCTGGAAAGACCGCAAAGCTCCCAGACGAGCGCAAAAAGCCAAAGTCCGAACAACAGGGGACGAGTGAAGATGTGCAGCCAGCTACAGAGGCGGCAAAGAGCAGGGGGCGCGTGCGCTTCCAGGTGAGTTGAATCACGCGCTCAGGTGAGTCCCGTGTGTTACCGGAACCCCTTTACCGACTTACACACTTTTATTTGTTCATTATAGTTGAGCCTATTCTTAATGAATTACGTTCAAAGTTTTATTAAGTTAGCCAGAGGAAGCCATGATTGTCATGCTTTTTCAGTTACCTTTTCTCCAGGGAACGGTTACTGGTAGAGTGGCCTCTGAAAAGAAAATGTAAAAATTCTCAAGGAAAAAACAAACTATATAAATTAAGTCACACGGAAAGTATGCTACTCAGATAATGGGTCACTATCAACGATGTCCAGGAATAATCAAATTATGAGTAGAAATTCACATATGGTAAACCTTAATGTTCATCTGTGCCACAGTGAATAATGAAACGACTCTTGAAGATATGGAGGCTTCACTGGGATATGGAAAGTCTCAGAGATGGACAGATGCTCTCTATTTCAAATTAAACTTGGTTTGATATAAATAAATCTAATTTGGAGTGTCAATCATATCACTAATTCTCTACCTAACTAATCTACCTACTAAATCCTGGAAGTGTCACCTCACCTGATAAATTCCAGCCTTGATGCTTTAGTTGACATCTGCATTTGTAAGTACTTCCTTTATGAGAATTTAGGAAGGCAGGATAACAAGCTGGGCTACATCTCCTGAGGATAAAGTTAAACAGCAAATTTGCAAACTTCTGGCTATTATCTGCAAGCTTTGTGTCAGGATCGCAAAGATAAATCAAGCTGAAGTGACTTAATGGAAGACTGTACAGATGAACTGTGCTTAATTGCTTAACATTAGTCCCCTGATACTGAGGGGTTGAGGAGGGAGTGAACAGACTCACTGACTTGCCTTTTGTCCTTCAGTTTCTGGAACAGAAGTATGGATATTATCACTGCAGAGAATGCAATCTGCGATGGGAAAGTGCCTATGTTTGGTGTGTTCAGGGAACCAACAAGGTGAGCACTTAATTCTAGGTGTCGGTGATGCAAATTCAGCCTGATTTGTGCAATAAATCAGGGGTCCACAGTATGAGGACCTACCTGCTATTAATCACAAGCCTGGACATCTCTAATGGTGCACTCTACAGCAGGAGTTCATCTTTTAGTAAAAACTGGTGTCCACTTTTGTACCCAATTAGTTTTCAGATGGGGGTCCTGCTGTAATACTGTATTGTGGCAAAATGTCTATACTTTAATGTGGCATGGCATTTCAAGGCCACAGTATGCCTAGGTATGCCACCTAACTGAAGTATGGTGTCTCCCAGGTTTACTTCAAACAGTACTGTAGGAAATGCCAAAAGGAGTTCAACCCATACCGCGTCGAGGACATCACATGCCACGTGAGCCCTTTTCTAAGTTGCTCTTGTTGTAAATTAAAATATCATGTGCCACAACTACACCTCCATTTTTGTTTCAGACTTGTAACAAAGCACGCTGTTCCTGTGCAATAACGCAACGCCATGTTGACCCCAAACGGCCCCACAGACAGGACTTGTGCGGCAGATGCAAAGGCAAGCGGCTCTCCTGTGACAGCACTTTCAGCTTCAAATACATCATCTAGGAAGCGTCTCAACTGAACTTGGCCCTGTAACACATCAGTACAAGTCCTGTGGGGGGAAATCTTCAACCCACTGCCACTATATTTGGCATCTTGCAAAATGTGTTTCAAAACTTAATTTCAGCCTATTTTGTGTTGAAACTAATGGTAAGCACCAAACACTTTACAGTGTAATAAATTGCAAATGTGCACTCTATACGGAAGCATTCTTTTCACTTCAAATCACTGTATTGAGGCCTTGTCTGGAAATGGAAGAAAGGTAACAAACTATCAATGCTTTATGTCCTAACCTGTTAGATGTTTCCTCAGTTATGATTAATGAATCAACATGAAACTCTTGTAGTTGCTGATTTAATAGGGGGGAGGGCAGCAGTGCCCCAGAGATTTAAGACTGCACTGGGGGCCAAATGGATAATTAAGCACTACAGACTACAATAGTTAATGTTTCTGCTGGTCTAAATACTAGCTTGTCTATCCTTGACTCTAATCCGATTTAACTTGTTGAAATTGCATTACAGAAACTATATGCACTGAGGTACACAAATGAGACAGGCCCAGCCTGTTGGCACAAGAACAAGTCTTATTCTTGTTTACTCATAACTAATGTTATGAAAACATGACACTTAAGACCAAGGTTGTATACTGTATAATAGGTTTATTTATCCAGAGAGAAGGCTGGTATGTGAGTGAACAAGGAAGGGAAAATGTTTAATGCACCTCTACATTAAACATCTTCCAGGTAAATAATATATTCATTAAATAACAGCATTCAAATGTACCAGACAAGCAAGGAAATAAAGCTGAGGAATGAGTACAGTGACTGTTAACAATGTGCCATGACAAGATTTCCAGAAAGCATTCAATGTCCTGCAGTCACAGCAGCAAGTAGGGCCATTCTGAAAGCACAGTTTCAATGAAAACTGGATCAAAACGTGATCAACCTACATGGGAGGAGGGGGGGGGCCCTTAGTTTCCCCTTGACAAGGCTTCTAGCAGAGCCTATGCTGGGGGGTGACGCGCTAAACAAAGATCACAGTGGAGAAGGAATGCATATGACTTGGCTAGAATGGCGTGGTCCTCCAGGAGAAGGCGGCTACACTAGCTCTCCTGTGCCATCATCACAAGGCAGACAAGTGACTAGTCCCAAATATGACCTGACCCCCCCCCCCCCCCCTTGCAAGACCACAACCAAGGTAGCCTTTGGGAATAATTGTATGATTGGATGACAAAAGTGGAGCGGATCAATAATTAAATCTGGTCTTGGCTTTCTCATCACATTAGCTTTATACATACATCCTAGTCGGATGAACAGTGCATTACACAAAAGTACAAGGGGAAAAAATACTGGTTTTACACTATACATTTTCTAAAATATATACAGAGTAAAATAAGTTATGTTTCCATAATGAGCTGTAACCAGTCTGCACTTCTGTGCAATTATATGCATTGGTGTGTGAGTGTATACCAGAATATCCAATATATACCACACAGTCAAGAGTCTCTAAAGGCAGCTACTTATTTGGTTAAAGAGTGAGTTTTGCGTGAAGACCTGTTGAAGGAGACTTCAAAGCAGATCAATAAACGGATATCTCTTTTTACACTCCCTGAAGGCAAACATTTCCCACAGGGTAACAATTGCATGTTAAATATCCTAACATTTACAACCTAGGATGTTAGCTCTAATAAAAAATACTTTTCTCAAAAAAATATTCTTGCAGTGCTCTCATCTTTCAAGCATGCTTTTGAAAACTTTTTTTTTTTTTTTTAAAACAAGATTTTTGTGTTTGCTTATGAATCTTGAAAGTGTGTCCTCCCACATACGACACCTCCTCTGGACTGTCTTACATGCTTCAATACCATCTTCCAGCCCAGGCCCTGAGCAGGTACGATGGGTCCCGCCAGGTCAGATCCAACCAAAAAAAAAAATATATATATATAAAAAAAAAAAAAAAGTCATCGCACTACGTCCTTGCTTATTCTCTCCCAGGCACACCACCACATGACTTATTGCAACTGAATTTTGCAAGTTGGCTTGGTCTGGGAAACAATGTTAGCTTGAAGCATTCATACATGTAATAATATATGTTAAAGAGTCACAGTTATTCCCACACATCCTTTAGCCCTTTATAGGTGGAGTCTCTCTCGTCCTCCTCTGAAGCCCCTCTGTCTACCCTCTCTCTACAGCTGAGGTGAGGTCTGTGTAGAGCGGGGGGGGGATTTGTGTCTAGTCCAGGCCTCCAACACCACAGGTTCACAGTCCAGTGCTGACCATGGTGGTGTGGGGCTGGCAGGCCTGCGCCTGACTCAGAGCCTCACGGATCTGCAGGTTGAGCTCCATGAGGCGGGTGCTAGCCTGAGACAGGTCCCTGCTGGGGCCTACCACTGCCAAGCAGCCCGTCTGGCCCAGCGTCTGGTGACGGAAGTAGATGTGCAGAAGGGTCTGGACTGCATTGTCTGTCTCGTTGCCAAAGATGTCGTTGGGCCACAAAGACCTGTTGATAAAAGGAGGGTTTTGATTATACAGACTAATTTTCTGTTTGTGCACACCAGCTGCCTTGTTTTATATCCATCCAGTGGTTGAAATGCTAAAGACCCCATTTTAAACATGTTTAGGTTGAACAGAAATACCTACTTCACTGCCACATTAAATCAAGGAAAACAGGTTTAGTTGGTAGCGGTTGTACTTTTCCAGCGAATTCTACCATCGTTACATTACATTTATTCATTTAGCTGATGCTTTTAACCAAAGCGACTTACAATTGTTATACATGTCAGAGGTCACATGCCTCTAGAGCAATGATGGGTTAAGTGTCTTGCTCAGGGACACAATGGTGGATGGGTCACAGTGGGAATCCAACCCGGGTATCACACACCAAAGGCATTTTTCTTATCCACTGCGCCATCTCCACCTCCAGTATATCAATACACTATATCAGACTTCAGAGTGTTGTGACTGACATGCATAGTAGGTTTTTGTCTTTAGTTAGCCAATGGTATTAGTTACGTTAGCCAGAGTAGGTTATTGACGGCACAGCTGATGATGTAGTTGCCTACATCATTCCATTGTTTAAGCTATTAAAAATGCAGACATGTTCACATTGCAATAGTTTTCTTGAGATTATAATGAAATTTAAAAAAGCTGTAAACAGCAACTCTGGCAACAAGATTTCTCCTTACTTACATTTTTAGTCTTTATCGTCAGTTAACTTAATAAATTTGTTGACCTGTCATATTAGCACAAAAGGCTGATTTGTGTCTTTGCTGTGGAATTATAATGATCATCTCACCTAAAGACTTTGACCTGCGTGATGGCAGAGCTGAAGTCTCTGGCTCTCAGAGTTTCAATCAGGGACTGGATGGCCGTCTCTGTGTTGGTCTGAGCTGTGTCTGACATACACACATCCTCCTGACCGTCATTTCCTGTTTCTGCCTCCTTCAAACAGCTCTCTAGGATTGTGAGTTCTTCAGACATGTTGGTCACCTTGGAAACGGAGACATAAAAACGTTAATATCCTCGCATACATGTGCAATATCTATCTGGGAGGTCAGCAAAGCGAACCTCTTGACTAAATATTAACTGGAATAGCTGACACCATCACTCCATGTGAGAAATTATTTAATGTCATTACTTTAATCTAATTAAAGCTCCACCAAGATGCAGCACAGATGGGAATAGACTGCAGCCCACATTCGGCAATAATTGCTTTAATAATTCTGTAGTTACAATACTTGCTACTAATGTACGTACAATATTATTTTAATGTAAAATATAATAAAAAACTAACTAAACTAAAAATTTAATGACAAACAACTATAGAAAAAGAGATAGCAATCTTTGGAGAGCAGTGCTCTAACAGCATGATGTAATATAATGCAATTTCTCTGTTCTTGATTCTCTGACAAAGGAGATGGGAAAGCTGTAACCTGCCACAGTTCCTTTCTGCGGCAAAGATAAACCCCAAATAAACGTAAAATGCATTTCAGATATGTTTTATCATTACGATGACGTATGTTCGAAACCTAAACTACAAAATGTATCCATGCAAATCCTAACCTCATTTCGAAGCTGTCAACAACAAATCCAGGACAATTTTAGTCTCACCTCTGCCTCTCTCTTGATGGTGTCCACCCTGCTGATCAGCTTACAATAGGCCTGGAAGAGCAGCAGCAGCTGAAAGTGCAACTTATAGAGCCTGCGACATAACTCCAGCTCCTATAGAGACAGAAACATTAACAGAGTCACATGCCTGCATAATGGTCTTACCTGCACTGAAATTACTCTGATGATCTTATGATTAGACAGATGGGTATCCTGGGTTAGAGACGTGGGAGTACATGAAAAGGTTAACATGGCCGAGAGCAAAGTGCCATCTGGTTTGGGCCACGGAGCAAGAGCTACCACTAATAGAATTAGTCATAAGATCTCAATTAGAAAACTATTCATCACCACCTCCTGTGATGCTCCCTACGGGCTACTGGGACCAGTGTGGCCGACTAGATGAATGACCCAAAGACGTGGGTAATTAAGAAAAGTTAAGACCTTAATCCAGGAGGGAGAAAAAAAAAGGTAATTTGAATATATATAGAAACTGAACAATACACACGCAAAATAAACATCTATATGATCTCTCCACCCGTCCTCTACAAACACAGGCGCCCCCTCTGAAATCATCAGTAACTCTACAATGAATACACGTTTAAAAATCTTCATCTATCTGCAGACGGAATCAGTGTGCAGAACAAAGCGGTTAAGACATTGATTATCCAGGCTGGATGTAGCAACAGAGAAAAAAAAGCAGATATTGCAATACAGGATAACAGTAAATTATGATTGGGTGGATGGGAGAGTTGAGCTGGGTTACATGACCGATCAAGGCAGAGACAGCGATACAGATGTGGGTGAGGGTGGTGTGGCAGAGCACAGTCCATGGTTGTCAACAGCGCAGGTATGCACAGAGAGAGATGAGATGATCAGGTGTTTTGTTCAGATGTCATGATTATTAACAGTCTATAATATGAGAACCACTTACTGCTAGATTTTCCATTTGCTAAGCAAGAAGGTGAGCAGGTCACACACAAAAAAACCCAACAACAAACAAAACAGAAGGAGAGAAAGACCAAGAATTAGTGAGCTTTAACATGGCAGCTGAGACACAGTGACCTGACGTGCAAGGAGTGGTGTTTTGTCATCTTCCC